ACCGATTGATTTTCTCTTGTTTTCAGGTAACAATTCGAAACATTTCGGAGTGCGGGAGGCGTCGACATCGACGCTTAAGCAGGTTTATACCGATCGGATAGTATTCCTCCGAACTTTGAAACTCTCCCTTGTAATACCAGCCTTTTATTTTTCTGACAAAACAATTCTTTTATGTATTCACGAGACTGTCGGGTAGGCACTCGTTAAGTTTTGCGTCTGTTTTTCTTTTCGAAAGGTGAGAGTATAATAACAAAGATAGAGAGTGGGCAGAAGATGCCTAATGTTGCTAGGCAGTATGGCGCAAACAGGTGTACAGTAGGCCGAAATTCAATCTTACTGTATTTAAGAAAAATACAGTATAATCAAGAAAACTCAAGCAGCTAAAAGAGTAACAAAGATCACATCTGAGATATTAATTTAATTACTTACAAAAAATCCTGAAGAAGAGAGAAAAGCAATCGACATTAGACAGATTCTTTAACCCTTTCAAATGGAAAAATCATGACTATTAAAAATGCAAGACTATGTATGTATGTATTTTTATTATTACATATAAATAAACGTAGTAAGAAAGTAGTATATATTTTTCATTTTGGGGGGTCTCCAGAACGAATTAATTAAATTTCCATTAAAACCTATGGTAAATCGATAATCGGTTAACGAACAATTCGGATAGCGAACAAAGTCTTGGAACGGATTATGTTCGTTAACCGATCACCCACTGTATTNGTACTCGACTAGAGATGGTTCAGTTAAGCTTTTGTTTAAGTAAAATGTCAGCTCTTTCATCAGGGTTTTGTTTATGTCCCCAATTCCCTAATCGCTTAATTATTTAACTACTTCTTAAGTAGAAGTAAGTCGAAACCAGTTACTCTGTACTCGAATATTTGTAGTCTCGGGGAAAAAGTAGAAAGACAAATTTTTATGACAATGGATACATAAATTGTAAATTTAAGGAAAATAAATTCTAGAGCTTTTTCTGTACCTCATGCATCTCTCTCATTCATTAAATTTAGTTGTAAATGATGCTATCAAAGTAATGGTTAATTTTTTAGCATTATACAAGAATTGTACACGTTTTTTCTACATCCCTTTAGAGATGGGGTATACGAAATCATAATATCACTGGTTTAACATTGAAATCCGCGAGTAATATAAAATTGGAGAGCGGAATAAAAATATCAAATATTTTAATGGATTTTTTAAACTACTGTCAACTATACAGAACTATCATAAAAACATACCAGTAAATTCTTATCGGTTGGGTTAAGTTATAAATCTACTCGTGATTCACGTAATCGGGCAAGGGCTGCCAAATATCTAGCGGGCAGGCGTCTAACAGTCCAGAACCAGTCCTGGATAGAATTGGATGCAGTATACGTGTAGCATCCACCCAAGGTCCCTAGGCTTTCACCAGCTAAACCGGGTGAGGTTGGTGCTCTGTAAAGCACAAATGCAAATCTGGCTTTTTGGATGCTGACAATACAGTGCTTCCACTCCGCCACTAACATTCGAATATACAATAGCAATCTCATCTTTCTTTTTCATGTGTAGTATAGAAATTTGTAATAAGTTACATAATGCAGTTATAGTAAAATATTAATTTTATCTTATTACAAATTTCTATACTACATGTAAAAAACAATGATAAGATTGCTATTGTATATTTGAATATAAATTCATATATGCATATTTCCAGTGGAAGCACTGTATTGTCAAATATGGGACAGCTTCTACTGTAAAATTATTTGAATGGTGCAAAGCAGCCAGATTATACACATTTGCACATGCACTTTACAGAGCACAAACCTCACACAGTTTAGCTCATGGATGCTACACACCAAAATCTCATATAATGCTTCCAATGATTATCCAGGGCCAGCACAGCTTTCCTATGATCAAATGTCAACACACGCCACTGCATTATATATATTTTATGACATATAAATCTGATTGACAGATTACACCTTAAAAAAGAAACATATTTATCAATCAGTGTAGTAACTTGTACTACATTAATCTAATTTTAAACTAGATTATTGTTGGATGCGAATTTTTCGAAAGCGTATTTTATGCTACAAAATGAGTTCTCCAAGTTTTCAGTGCTTTTATATTCAAAGATATTCTTTATTTGGCAATGACTATTATGTTATGTACGCTTATCAGTATACATTTCTATTTCCACAATATAATCCGTGGACTGGAATGCCCGAATATGGGCCGACGACAGACTTTGTACAAAGTGGAATGTCGTCAGAGTTTCAGCAATATGAACCTCAAGCAAATTAATTTGTATATTGGCCACAACCACAAATGACTGATTATTGGCCACCTCCAGAAACAAATATGTATGGGCCACAACCAAATACATATGAATATTGGCCTGAACAAGAAGTTTCTGAAACGCGACCTAACACAAATGAATATGGACATCCTTTAGAAATAAATGGATATGGACCGGAACAATACACAAATGAGTATTGGCCAAATCCAGAAAGAATTGGATATGGGCTGGGAGAATACTCAAATGTGTATTGGCCAAATCCAGAAATAAATGGATATGGACCGGTAGAATACACTAATGAATATTGGCCAAATACAGAAATAAATGGATATGGGCCGGTAGAATACACTAATGAATATTGGCCAAATCCAGAAATAAGTGTATATATATGCCGGTAGAGTACAGAAACAAATATTGGCCAAATCCAGAAATAAGTGGATTTGGGCTGGTAGAGTACAGAAATGCATATTGGCCAAATCCAGAAATAAGTGGATATGGGCTGATAGAATACACTAATGAATATTGGCCAAATACAGAAATAAGTGGATATGGGCCGGTAGAATACAGAAATGAATATCGGCCAAATCCAGATATAAGTGGATATGGACCAGAACAAGAAAGAAATGAATATTGGCCTCTTGCAGAAATAAACCTGTATGAACCTCCTCCAGTTCTATTGCAGTACTTGACGCCAACAGAAGTGCATCAACGTAGTCTGGTGCCAGAATTATCCGATTATGGACAGCTGCCATTTGAACTTTCCACAAATGAGTCTTCTGCTATTAATTCTTCAAAAGAAGTAAAACCAAACGCAAACCTATTATCAGAAACTTTTGAATTTCCATCAGATACCAATGATCAGCACCTTAACGTTTCTGAGTTTAAAACGAAAGACTGTGATCAAAGAGAAACGTCTGAAACTGACGTGGAACAAAACAGTTCCAATGTACGTAATTCAGAGGAACGCGTTGTACAAGACGAAGAACCAAAACTCTCTGAAAATGGAATTACAGACAACACAAGTGAAGGAATTTTTCATGAATCCGAAGATACAGAAGAGTCTCCTATTAAGAACATTCCAAAGGCTTCTCTGTCTCCAGAGGAAATCACTACAATTGTAAATGAAGGCTATACATTTTGACCGTTATATAGAGCATTCTTGGAACTCGAGAAATATTCTTTAGTATCAGAAATTATATATGAGGAAGAGGAACCTGACTCTGCAGACGATTTGTCGGAAAGTGAATATAGCATTGAATCAGATGTGATCTCGAGCGAAGATGATGTTTCTGACAAAGAGAATACAAACGAAATATTTGAAGAATGCAATGGCGAAGAAAATGTATTAATAACACCTCAACACGAGTTATCTGTTTGTGAGTCACTATCAATCAGTTCAAAATTAACTGGTTCTCAAATTGAACAATGCAATTCAAATGTAATGACAAAAATGGACGAAATGTCTACCATTTGTAACGAATTGGCTGTCACAGAGTGCAAAGAATATGTAGACAAATTTTCTACATTGAATGAATCTAGAAAGATACTTGAAGAAGAAATGATTCTTGTATCACCTGAAACAAACCAAGAAATGTTAGAAACTGAATTTGAATTAAATAGGAATGTTTCACGGCTTAATGAAAATGTCTGCGGTGATGCAATTGGATTAAAAGGATTTGAAGAAGAAAATAATAAAAATAAAGACGAAAGCAATGAAAGACAAATAGTGTCGGGATAAAAATCGTATAGCTCACAGTTTTCCCGCGCTTTTCCAATCGTTCGACGAACGACGCTTGAAAACTCAACCACTGATTGGTTGAGAGACATCGAACCATCGGCGGACGTCTTGTAGCGCGGCTAAGCGCTGATTGGTGGAATCCAATTCTGCTTCAATCCTATAAAAGGATTGAGTTGTGGCGGGAAATTCAGTTCACCGTGGACTCATGTTTGGTCTTAGTTCACCTAAGCTGGTCCCGAAGCTTGTCTCATCTCGTTGGGCTGTAAAGGACTTTAGAGTTAGTTTGTTGCAAGGTGTCTTTTCGACGGACCTGTGATAGTGGATACATGTGATGAACTTTGTTATAATTAACATTTTGTAAATGTTTGTTTTGATTTGTGAACTTTGTAACTGTACATACGTTTATTGATAATATATATATTGTTTGAAGTTAACTGACGTGTGTGTGTGTATTTTGAACTTTACTAATGGTTAACAAATTAACCGATTTTATGGTAATTAAAAACGATGTTCTTCCNTTAGTGCCCACATGGCAGAAAGAGTTAAAGAGAAAAAAAAATTTGCTCATTTTCTATTTTGCCACTATGATCCTCTAACAGTTTAATACATCTGTTGAAAAAGTTGTATACTATTGTTATCATGGTTGGACTCATTTGAAATAATTTGTTGTACAGTTCTTCCATAGATTTATACATAGTCAAAGTAGAAATACCAAATTGTCCTCTAAGATTTATACATTCTTTACATATGAAAATTAAATGGTAAATAGATAATTGATGCTGACACATTCTGCATTGACTATTCTTGATATTCAGATAATTCACATTGACCACTAAATAAAAACTGTTCAATCTAAACTACATACAAAACCTTTTCATCTTAAATGGGATTTGAAAATTAATATAACTGTTTGAAGGAGAAAAGCTTAAGTTATTAATATACCATGAATGAAATTTTGAATTTCATAATTTTTTATTTCTTGATCGATTGAGTTATTAAACATATTTTCCACTAAGATAGTAATTCTGATGTTCTAATCAGCTTCTGTATTGTTAAATAATATACGTGACATCCCATATCTAGCCTGCATAAGACTAAATTTATTGTACAAATTATTGGTGTAATTCCTTTTAACCTCAGCTACTCTTTCAAGCACTTCAAATATGGTATTTATCTGTATATTCTTGCCATTGGCAATTCTCTTATAGAACTCATGATCCTTATTATCATGAAAGGCTCTAACTGTAGCCTATTAATGTCTTGATGAATTAACAGGTGTAAAATTATAAAACAAGATTTCAACTTTGTCAAAAATGAATTCATGTTTTAACTATAGCAAACCAACAAACCAAATAGTGTGATTAATAAACTAATCAAACTCCATTTCACACTAGATTATATTAAAAGAATATGAGCATTACATAGTAAATCTACAGAACCTAACAAAAATCATTTACCATGATGCTGTCTCAATTGTTTCTTAGCTTCTTTTCTTCGATTATTGAACCAATTATTCACGACTGGTAATGTAACTTTTTCTCTTTCTGACAAAGGCCGATCTAAAATTTTAATATATCATATTATTTCTATAATAACAGACAATGTCATAAAATTTGAAAAAAAAATTAAAATCAATCACAAAGACATTTTTGAATAAATTGCACACAAAATTAAAATTTAAAACCTTCTAAAATTTACTTAAATTGTAAATAATCTAAATACAGTGAAACTTCCATTAACAGACACTCCTGAATAGTAGATACCTCTATTTAACAAACATTTTTACAATTTCCAGACCCTTCAAATAGTGGACACTTTAAATAATGGATGCCATTGTCCATAACCTACCTAGAAATACATTTTTTAATAAATGAACTTTTATAATTTACTAAAGAAATCAGTTAGCAATGTTACAATGCTATCATATTAATTTGGATGTATTTGAATATTTGAAAAAAAACTTGGAATGCTATATAATGTCAAAAGTTAACCTTAATATGAATACATCAAAATTATCTGCTAATTTCATTTCTCTAAAGTTTAGTAATTTGAATTGATTAGCTGAAATTTCACTTTTAATCTTTTGATATGTATTATTACTACACTAACAGTGGGAATTAGTGACTATAAGAACATTGTTTGCATGTCTTAAATTTTACTGTAAAAATAATTAAATATATATATGTACTGCCTTTCTCTACTTAACCTCTTTCTGCTCTGTTTCCTGGCAGAACACTTTTGGTTTTTTAACATCCAAACTTTACAGAATGTATCTTTCAATACAATTTTTCAGCTAATGTTTATATAAGATAAACTTGTAATGAATTTTTGAGATGTAAATATATCTTTAACAAAACAATGCACAGGAAAAGTTTCAAATTATATTCAAAATACAACTGGTTAGAATGTTGTGATCATATGTATATGTTATGAAAACTGTCCTAAGTGTTAAGGAATGGAATATGCATTTCAAATATAGCTGGCATTGAAAGAGGTATCATAGCATTATATCATACAAACATTCTCATAGTAAAGCCTAAATATACTTTTGCAATATGACTAATAACAGTCAATTCCTATATTACAGAAGTGTTAGGGAGATTGTTCAGAATGTATTCCAACCTATTCCATGTTTGTAAATTTTTGTGTACATTTTTTAAAACAAATCTCCCTAACTGATCCGTTATTTGCTATACCACTGTATGTCATATATCTACTGTTTGAAGTACAGATGCAGATTGCATATGTTACTTAATATAAAGCAAGTGTTTTTTGGAGTAAACTGTTTGGTGATTAGAAAGCCGTGTGTTTATCATTTTATATCCTGTCTGTAATACAGTCTGTAATTTATACAGGAATTATATTGTGTTTTAGTTACATTTTCAGAAATTAATTGAAAGTTTTAGGTTGATATAATGCATTATAATTTTTTCCATTTAAATTAATGAGGAAGAGATTCCCGGTTAACATTCACACAGAACATCTGATTTCCAGGAATGGAATACTGGTGTTAAGTGGGAAATGCTGTGCATATATTTTTGAAGATTAAAATGCACACAACTCACAATGTTGTGTACATAATTTTTGAAAATTTTTCGAATTTATGTTATTAAAATATACTTGCACAAATGTAATTTAAAAAATAATAATAGGCATCAACATGTAATTTTAATTGTAAATTCAAATATTTCTATNTATATATATATATATATAAAGTATATAGTTTTATATATGTGAAAAGTATACATAGCATATATATATATGCTATGTATACTTTTCAGTATTTTCACATTCCTAATGAAATTTGACGATCAATAATCCATTGTATTCTTCACTTTATAATGACCAGGTTAAAATTCAATATGGCCAGCAGAATGCATCTCTGAATAGCAGACACCTCTAAACTTCTCGGTCCCAACAGTGTCCGCTATTCAGAGGTTATATTGCACTTGTTTTGTCAGTCATATAAACTAGCCATGTAAGAGAGCCCAAATAATTTAGAAAATCCAGGAGTAAAGTATAAATATATTTTAGATTCTTCATAAGTGTACTTTGAAGTTGAACAGAAGAACCAAAAATAATATATTTTTTACATTTCCTCTAATAATATATTATAAAAAAAAACTATCTTTCAGAGAAAGTATGTTCCAGAATCTTGTATAGAGAGATTATCACTCACCTCTCAAAATTTCATTAAATTCTGAACCAATCAATATAAAGCTTGGGATATAAATCCTCTCTCATTTTTCAGAGATAATGAATAGAACACAATTCTTGGAAACCACATTAATAAAAAATGGATTACTTTTCATAATGTACTACCATTACAAGAGTGAGTACTTTGATGAATAAAATAATCTAATGTAAAAATTATTCACTTTCCATTCCATTCAATATCAGCTTCTATTTGTTTATATAAGCATCCCTTTTCAATGCAAGTTTTATAAATAAGCAATTTCATTTTTCACTAATGGAGATGATTAGGGCCTGTCTTGCTAATGTTGGTTCAGTATGGGTTCCCAGCATAATCTAGCACAGTGAAACGTGTAAGGATAGGTGTGTGGTCGAGGGTAAGTTGATGGAATTATTTATTGATAACATCATATGCTAGGTTATGCAGCATATTATCAGATGTTAAACATATGTCTATGGTAATGCAGATGCTAAGATCAGATATGGATAGTGTGAAAAAAGAGGATAGATTGGAAGTATATGTTATTAGACTTACCAAAGCTAGTAATGATTATTATTATGTAGGGTAAACCTACAGATCACTAAGACAACATATGAAAGAGGATGAGGATTCTATTTACAAGCAGGTTAGTAGCAGTAGAGCTTTGGCCCAATGGATGTTGGAAAAGAAAGGTCCACTGAAAGTCTGGTAAATGTAAAAAGCTGGACTGACCCAAGGTTGATCAGAGTTGTAGAACAATGCTTTACACATAGCTTCATACTTTAGGGAAAGTAGGTTATAGTTAAGATTAACACTCAAGATTCAATAGCTTTTGACAGGAGATGAACATCTCTCTTAGTATAAGAATGCCAATTGGGGGAAAGATTTTTTTCCTACCGTCGGAATGGTCTAAGGCAGGCATGGCCAACATACGGCCCACAGGCCAGATGTGGCCCGTGTAATGGATTTATGTGGCCCATGATTAATGTTTCAATACTAGCTACTCAAGTCAGAATAGATCGGTGAAAAATTCTAACACCTAAAAATAAAAAATAAAAAAAAAAAAAAAGAGTCAACAACTCGCTGTCTGGTTAGAGTTAACCCTCCATTACAGATCTCTTAAGTATAGCGTAGAACTTTGATAAGGCATGATAATATGAAAAATGTATGTGTAATCTCTATGTACAATTTAGTCTCTATGAGGTGACACCACAATGAGATCTTGCACCACCTCAAAATCTTCCTAGGGCAGCCTCTGGTTAGACCCATGAAAAAAGTTTTCATTCCAATTCAACCCGGGGGCAAAAACTGTTGACCATCACTGGTCTAAGGTCTATGCATATGTGGGTGGCTGTTTTGAGGAGGTAGCAAAAACAAGTATTTCACAGAGAAACCGTTTATTCTTGTCGAAAATGCTTACATATTTTTTTTGGCAAAGGTCCTTAAGTTCAGAACTTTGGGTTGTCTTCAGAAGTTGTTTTCGGAGTCGATCTGGTCCTATACTGAAGGGGTCCCGTGGCTGCATTGAGTGAAAAGTTCAAGATCTGAAGTGACAACACACGAAAGATGAAAGGAAGCACGACAGCTGGAGGCAAACGAACACAACAGGTAGTCTAGGTGGAAGCCTCTTTTGTCTTTGAAATTGGTGTTTTTATAAGTTTTTCGAGATTGACTTGTTGCTAATTGGACAGACTTTTCCTCATTGCTTTCTAATTGGTCTTCCACCTGTCTCCAGGTGTAAATGGAGCTTCGTATAGTACATGGGAAAGGTCGGCAGGAGATGATTTATCCGACACCATCTTTTAGACTCTGATCACATTTAATCATTGACTATGACACCTATGCTCATTCTGATATTTTTCTAGTTTCATTTTGCTTTCTAAACTGCGTCTTAACTTTAATATTTTAAATTTTCTTTTTCTATTTCTAAAATTTTGTTTTTCCGTCTACTCTTGATGAGCATCGATGTAAAAGTCTGGTGTCGCCAGTTCAACACATATAATTTGTTTTCTTGACGATTTAACTTAACAAATTTTTACATACCTTTTTTTTGGGGGGCTATTTCCGGGCCTCACATTAGACTCATATGACCTGGGTTATTTAATAAGTCAGTTAGTTACTAGAGGAGGATAAAGAGAACAGCATATATTAGGGTTTTCTGGAATGTTTTGTAGTTGACTGACTATAGAAACAATGTTATAATGGTTACTGGTTCTTATATATTTCAGTTAGATTCATTTTAAATATATTATATATATAAAAATAATGTTTATTGTATGCATGTTCTATTTGATTGTATTTTTCAGTTATGTTTATTTTAAATGTATTACTGTTTATTCTATTTATGTCCCATTAAGAAATTGAAACTAGTTTGATCTTACATAATGTAGTAGACATTCTGAACATTTGTGAAGTTGATGATATTCCGAAATAGGAATGAAAACATTACTTGCTGTAAATACAGGTTATCTGAAGTAATCATTTTAACTTTTTGACAAGACTATGTCTTGTTTATGATTTTATAAACAAGACATAGTCTTACCTCTATTCATATAGAGGTAAGACTAGATTTTATAAACTTGATTTTATAGAGGCAAGACTTGACTTTATAAACAAGACATAGTCTTACCTCTAACATACCTCTATTCTTATCAGCATAGAGGTATGAAGGAGTACATGTAGAGTTGATATTTGGCACAGAGTATTAGGTGCCCAAGTCATTTGCGCATAAAAAAATCCAAACTCGTAGGTAGTCAGGGGACTGAGAATCGAGTCAAAATAAAATCCAAAATGGCAACCCTCTTCTACAAACAGGCAAGACAGCCACCTCACCCCACCGAAGTCAGGTAGGGGAGAGTACCATCCACAGTCACAGAAGTGAACTCTGACCTTAGGACTGAGGATGCCTGCGCCGCAACCTTCGCCCTTTGATTTCACTTTGCTCCTAAACTCTAACGAGGAGAGACATCTTTTTACTACCTTTTGATTCGACAGCCATGCAATCTTGGATTTATATTATATATCAACGCTATTGTAAATATCCCATTGCCGATACAAATTAAGTAAATTATTTGCATAGATCATTTCTCAATTAATTTTTACTGGCAGAACACGTGGTCGAGGTCAATGTGGACATCACGGACAAGGTAGGATGTGCTACGTACAAAGTTTAGCCACGCCACTAAAGACTTTATATTAGGGTTGTTGTTACATCCGATAATGTTATAATCAGGTTAAACTGTATATTGTTTGTGCAAAATAAAAATAAGAATTTCAGATGATACAATAGCCACAATTACTTTTTTCAAAAACAAGAAATTTTCGTTATGNATAATGTTATAATCAGGTTAAACTGTATATTGTTTGTGCAAAATAAAAATAAGAATTTCAGATGATACAATAGCCACAATTACTTTTTTCAAAAACAAGAAATTTTCGTTATGCATCGACAAAAGTTCAGCCCTGGCCGTCACGCAACGAAAAGAAATTTTGACATTGGATAAAATTTCTTATATACCTGGATAAGTTAATTTCATTGAAAATGCATCGTGGACAATCTCGTGGTTGTGGCCGGCGAAGTTTGAATGATTGCGCACAAAAGCAGTGATGCCAAAAAAGATTGGAGAATGAGAACGAGACCTGCTTGAGCATCAAAGTGATTCCGCTTAGTAGTGAGTCTCCGAGACATAGTCTTGTCCCAAATACAACTTTGTCGTTTTACTTGTTTGTGATATTATGGTGAGCCAGAGACACAAGAGCATGTTNATAATGTTATAATCAGGTTAAACTGTATATTGTTTGTGCAAAATAAAAATAAGAATTTCAGATGATACAATAGCCACAATTACTTTTTTCAAAAACGGGAAATTTTCGTTATGCATCGACAAAAGTTCAGCCCTGGCTGTCACGCAACGAAAAGAAATTTCGACATTGGATAGTATATACCTGGATAAGTTAATTTCATCGAAAATGCATCATGGACAATCATGGACAATGTGGTTGTGGCCGGCGAAGTTTGAACGATTGCGCTCAAAAGCAGCGATGCCAAAAAAGATTGGAGAATGAGAACGAGACCTGCTTGAGCATCAAAGTGATTCCGCTTAGTAGTGAGTCTCCGAGACATAGTCTTGTCCCAAATACAACTTTGTCGTTTTACTTGTTTGTGATATTATGGTGAGCCAGAGACACAAGAGCATGTTAATAAACACATTACACTTAGGGAACAAACTATAAATTTACCTTGTCTCACTACTGCTTTATTACATTCCTCAACAATCTGTTCTCGAGTTGTCGTATCTGGATATGGATCTTTTTCATAATATCTTTCTAAAACAGCTAGATGAGGAGCTTTAAAAGTAAATCTTTCACGTTTCATTGGTATTAAATCTCCAGTGTCAGACATCATTTTTCGTAAACCAGAATTAGGGCACAATTGGGCTTTAATATAGAAAAAAAGTAAAATTTGTCACTTAAAAACACATTAGACAAATTATTATATTAGATAAAATAAGAATATTACCTAGTTTCCATGGATTATGTTTACATGTCAGGTACCAAATGTAAAAGGTATTCTTTGTGCGTTCAGACATATCTTGAATATCCCCACGGAAAAACCTACTTACATAAGCCTGACTCATTTTTGTCATTTCTGCTATCATTGTTTGCTTAATATTATATCTCATAACAAAGTTTCTTATTTCTGCAAGAACTTCTGCATCTCCTTTTCTGTAGTAAAACAAATATTTAAATAAATTTGTATGCATTTACACGTAATGTTTTTGATATAAAAAAAATAATTTTTAATTTTTATTTCATTATACTTCCTTATTNTTTGTTTTACAGTAATTAAATTAATATTTGTATAAAATCTAAAATATTAAATAACTTTCAATCTAAACATGCACTAGAAAAGCTTAGAACAGTGCTTGTGTATTGTTTTCAGTAATGCACATTTGAAGTCAGTTCATGTCTTAGCAGCATTGCCAATGTGAGTGAAGAAAATTACCTGCATCACATTAAAACAAAATTACACAAAAATACATACATTTATCTACTTTCTTTTTCTGTAGAAAATTATTTATAAACAACATATTTTGTCTATTCCTTAAATTGTTTGATTTTCCCTTAAGGCTCATTCAGATACATTCAGCTATTTAGTTGAGTAGCAAGTAATTTAATAACTTACTGGGTGCAAATAATGAAATATAATCGAATAGTTTTAGTGAAACAATTTAGTTTAGTAAATCCATTAAATTCTATTTTTCCTGGTTGAGTAATGCCTCCCACAATTACTAACTTACTAAACACATCTAGACAGGATAGTTTTTAGTCAAGTACTGTACATTGGTTCAATATTTCCTGTAGCATTATTCAATGGCACATGAATACATCTATGCAGTGCCAAATTGTCCAAATAGTCTGACACTTAGCCAATGGCCCTAAGTGTCAGAGTCCAAAACTGGTAAAAACAAAGCAATTTTACTGTTGCAATTGTGTATAATTTATTAATATTTCCATAATTTTATGACATCATAAACTAACAAAATTTAGTTGCAGCAATTGAATGTTATTAGTTTATGATGAAATAAAATTATGTAGAGAGCTCCAATTATCAATATCTAGGGACCCTAATAGACCTTAATCTGCCACTGAATTTTAATCTATTTTTTGATTCAGCTGATAGTAATTATGTTTGGATGAGTTCAAATGTTTGTGAGATTATTTAGGTTAAGGTAGATAAGATTGTGGCATCTGCTTTGGTTCATTTTTCTTCTTGTGTATTTTTATTTATTAATTCTTTAAAACTAAATTAAAAGATAATAAATACAATTTTTTGTAGTTATNAACACAACAGGTAGTCTAGGTGGAAGCCTCTTTTGTCTTTGAAATTGGTGTTTTTATAAGTTTTTCGAGATTGACTTGTTGCTAATTGGACAGACTTTTCCTCATTGCTTTCTAATTGGTCTTCCACCTGTCTCCAGGTGTAAATGGAGCTTCGTATAGTACATGGGAAAGGTCGGCAGGAGATGATTTATCCGACACCATCTTTTAGACTCTGATCACATTTAATCATTGACTATGACACCTATGCTCATTCTGATATTTTTCTAGTTTCATTTTGCTTTCTAAACTGCGTCTTAACTTTAATATTTTAAATTTTCTTTTTCTATTTCTAAAATTTTGTTTTTCCGTCTACTCNAACATGAAATGTAATAAAGGATGCGTTCTTTTATACCTCCGTGTAACTCTGCGCGAGCATTCTAATTGTTTTTGTGGCTACTTTGAATGCTCTTTGAACAAATAATCCATTTAATGGTTAAATTTTACAATTGGGACCCTTCTTTTGTCTCTAAAAGCTCATTTTAAAATTATAGATTCCTCCATCACGATACTATCGATAGGGCAGGCACCACCATCTTTCTTTCACTGTTGTTCCTAAATGCCTACAAACAGCAGTGCACTCCCATTGCAGAGCGACTGCTATTAACGAACGCACACAAAAACTGTTACCAGTTGATGATGTTCATGCTGAGATCATCATATAGGATAAATAATCCTCTGGTAAAATATTTACTTAAATAATAAATATTTTACCTATGAAAAAAANCTATTTAACAGATCTTGATTTAATGTACTTCTAATTTACCAGACAAAAATTTGTCCTGTATGAAATATTTTAAACCTTTTTATTCACAAATAGAACATGCCAAAAGGCTGAATCAATGAGTCAATCAGTATAAATTTCTCAATGTACATTATATTATTATTTTATTCATACTTACACATTATAACAACATTTTAACATATTTCAAATATTTTAAGTTCATTATTAATATATCTTTTAGAGCACATTCAATTTAACAGACTTTAGCAATAACAAACACTTTTCCTCTTCAATTAGTGAGTTCTATGGCGGCTTTTCTTTTGAGCTAGATTTATTACACCATCATTTAGAAACAGGACAAGCTTTAGAAAATCACATTTTTATTTCCTAGAGTATGAATTTCGGACTTTGAGTCCCTCATCAACTCTTTGTGATGTAAATGGTTATAAGCACAGAAATGGTGACAATTGATAAAATATGGATGAAAATTATTAATTTACAGGTATTTGATTAGATATGATGGTACGATGCATAAAGTAGTATTAGCAGTGAGAGGCAAACAATATACATAATAAAGTACACTGTTAAAACCATGACATTGCAAACTGTTTTATCATTAAAACAATAAAATAGAATGATGAAGTAAAAAATATGTTCACTGTTATAACAATAAGACAATAAACTTATTTACAGTAGAATAATAACACAATGAAATGATTCACAGAAATGATACTACTGTAAATAACACTGTCTTATTGTTATAACAGTGCACAGAAACACCAAGAAACAGACTGGTTCCTCACATCTGTTGAGGGCATTGCAGTAGCCATGCTTGGGCCGGTGCTGCTTTCGCCACTGTAACCAAGGGAGACTGTGGCCCATTTTTCAAATGTGAACCTCTGCCTAACCCACAAACGCAGACCTTGTAAACCTGGGTGACGTCCGAGCCGGTATCATACTTAGATCTGGTTACTACCATGATAAATAACTCCACAGAATGTGGGAGTGGTCACTCTTAGCTTCACTTCTCCTCATAGAACTTACTGGCATAAGTGTCCCTATCAGGAGCTTGTGCTCCAGCCTGCATTGCCCTATGGATCAGTAAAATTACCACCATGACCAGATGGTAACCACGGGAGAGGAATTATTGTTGTTGTTGTTGTTATTATTATTATTATTATATTTTTTTATTTCTATGAAAAAGGTTTCGGTAATTATTAAAACTGTCTTGTTTGTTTAACAGAACATTCTGACCAGGTGATTAATAATATTGACCCCAAAATGCATTAATGTTTTACAACCAACACGATACTCAAATTGTAAATAAATGCATCTCATTTCAATTAATTGTAGTTTTTAGTCTTCACCCATTTAAATATTGGAATTGAAACATTTAAAACAAATTTTAAATATTTCATTTTATTATTTTTGCTCCAAGCAATTAATTAATAATTTTGTCAATTCATACTGTTTACAACATTTATCAAAGGAACAATATCCATTTTTACCTAAACTTTTCCACAAACAAAACTACCACTTAAATTAAAACACTGTGTAAACCTGCTGTTGAGTGAGCCTAGAAAGTAGGCCAAATAACTGGTTTCTAATTGCTGTCTAAACTGTGGCAAGTGAGAAATGCCATCTATCAATGAAATTTTTCTGAACTGTGGTCTACATGATCTCTAAATCGCCATCAGCGTCTAAACCTTGTCTCTGCAATCAACTTTTTGGGTCTGAATATGTTGGGTCACCTAAGATCTCTTTCCACAAATTATAGCCTTATTATTTCTGCCAGTTTAAAAAATGTTGAAAGTCAGACTGCTCTTAACTTTAGGTATCCACTTACTCTATCTTTACCTTTGTTTACTTTTGTTACTAAACTAACTTTTCAATTCAGGGCTATAATCCAATAACTTGTCAGACAGTCACATAGTTTGAGCAATTCACTTAAGGGAGACTGCTAAGATCTCTCTCAGAAATATCTGACAATTCTTTCACCCTTCTTCTATGCAACTAACCATTAAAAAGAAAATTATCTCCCATAGAATTAAATAGAAAAGGTAACAAGACAGCTAATCCTTTCATTAGACTTATGTTGCATGGTAAAATTTACTACAACAGCACAGCTGCAAAAATCATTTTGACTGCTAACAAATTTCAAAATTGTACTGTGTAATTTACATTTCAATCAATTCTCAAGAAGTTGTTATCATTTTTCCTAAATAAGTATAGCACACATAAATACAAATAAAAAATCTCTTATTTTTTAATCCTTTAATTGGTTTCAGTTTTACAATGTCTCATACCTAGAATAGTAGCTGTCATTTAGACCTCTATAGTTAATGCATTTAGGAATACACCAAGGGCTTAATTAAGAGTATAGTTACTAGTCTGTGCAATAGTATAATTGGCACATTAGGTAATAAGCATTCATGAATACCATTTATGAAATTTTTACATTCTTATTGAAGTGTCTGTTTAAGATCACTATATAGACTGACAAAATTATTGCTGTGCTCACATCCATCACTTTCAGACTGAAAGATGTAAGCACAACTTTGTCACCTACCTCTGTAGTAACAAGGTGGGATACATGGCTAAAAGCTGCACATTACCATCTGCAAAGCATACTGTTTTAAAGGAATGATTTGTTTAGTGCAAGAAGAGGCAGTCTTTTTTAAATTGTTAAAAAGTGAATAATTTGAAATGCAGTTAAAAGCTATTGAAGAAATATCTTCAGATTAGATATTGACAACAAATTTATATTAAAGATGAAAATATTACTGTTTATCTTCTGTAAATATTTGGTAATACTGTATATGAGCTTCAAAATAAATAAATAAAAACAGATTTTATCAAACGATGAGATCAGCCGATTAATTGTATCGTGTATAATATTTTACACCCCAAAGGAAAATACTGTAGGTCTAGGGTAAAATAAATTTTGTTTCTCACAATTAAACTTCGCTGCTAATTGCTGTTGTGATAACTTTAATACGATATTCTAACGACAGCACTTTGCATTTGGGACATTTTCCAACAAACTGAAATGAATTTGTTGCTAGACTAATTTATTAACACCTGCACCTAATTTCAAGGGTGAGAGCAATGCCCGGGATAG